CTGGACGTGTCGGTTGAATTAGTTGCTGTGGCATTAGCGTGCGTCACCCAGTATGACAGCCATAAATCCGTAATATTTTTCGAGCTTTGCATCAGAATCATAGATAAAAATATTGAAATCGCCAAATATCGTCCTATGGCTTTGACGTAACATGTATACACCGAGAAACGTACTGTCCCTTTTTCGGTCGCTTCCTTGTCAAGTAATGGATCTATCTCGTCTTTTTCCAATCGATGAAATTCATTTTGTTGTGCCTTTAGAGAAATTATGTCCATGTCGGATTCGATGGAATCTGACAACAAAAGATAATCTTCCAAATCGGGCAATATGTCACTCGGTTTTCCTTGATTAATAATTTTTCCTTTCGACATTTCGATGACTAAATCTGCATGAACCAAATATTGAGTCTGATGCGTGCACAATATTCTGGTTTTATTTCGTAACAAACCCAGAATTACATGCTGGAAAACATGTCTGGCAATTCTGACATCCAATGTCGCTAATATATCGTCTAGCAAATAAATATCTTTATCCGCATATATAGCGCGAGCCAGGGAAATTCTTGTCTTTTGACCACCACTTAAAGTATTTCCGGCTTCACCAACAGCTGTAAAGTCTTTGTTAGGCAGTAAATTCAAATCGGATGTAAGCGCGCAGGCATTTAAAATGTTCCTGTTGTAATTGTAAATAAAATATCAAGTTATAAATAACATGACATAAATAAATTTATCGTTGGAATTAATTTTAAGCAACAATCGATACTTACTTGTATTTGTTATGATCATATGGTTTTCCAAACAGTATATTATCTCGGATTGTACCACGTTGTAGCCAAGGATTTTGTTTTACATATCCAAAACCTTTGTGATCGTCATTAACCGCTATTATCCCACTAGTTTTTGTAATTTCAGCCAAAATACCATCTAAGAGTAAAGTTTTTCCACTTCCAATCTTGCCCATAATACCAATCAATTGTCCCTTTACAAAATATGTGAATATAAAATATATATATTAGGTTTTACAAGTGATGGGAAGTACTTTCATTAATGTATTTTTTAATGCTCATGTGAAATAAATAACATTCTTTCATTAAAAAACGCTACGAATTAATTCCAACACCTAATATATATACATATTTGTATATATATATATTGGAAAGTTTGAATAAAATTTATTCTTACCTTTTGTATAGATAAATTAATATTGTATAAAGTGAAAACATCATCGTCTTCGAATGTAACGCTTTTTTTAATGTCGGTGCTTGAAGATGGAGTCGCAATCTTTAGACTTGTATTAGTATCAATATCGTTATTTCTTGAACGATTCACAGTAAATGTTACATTTTGCAGCAATAAATCAACATCAGGAGTAATATCTGTATAATACAATGACGCGTCCATATCTGGGAGCTGAAATAATAAAGTAGAAACTAAGTATCTCCAAATGTAATAATGCATTATTTTATGCTATATTATAGTCTTAATATACATACGTCCAGCATTCTTTGAATTCTCTTAAGAGATACCCATGCCTCTGTAAGACCATTTAGAACCCATGGAAACGCATTTAAAGGTCCTATTAACATGTTCAATAATGCCATACTGGTAAAAACCGTTTTGGCATCTAACTGATTTCCGAGCAATACATACGTTGCAAACGTTAATATTGCGATAATGACAGGTGTAGTTGCCCAAAAATAAACACAAAGTGCATCCAAATATTTTCTACCTCGTAAATATTTCACTTCATTTTCTCTTATCTCTACACAAAAAAAAAGAAATGTTTAAATGCAGAGCGCCAAAAAAGCTAGAAATTATTTATGTAAAAGCATACTAACTGAAGATATTTCGTAAGAAGTGATCCTCCCATACATTAACTTTAATTGTAGTTATCCCACGTAGAATTTCTCCCATCAACCTCACTCTTTGATCTTTATATTCCATAAGTTTAGTACTAATTTTACCAATTTTATTTGCTATTATTTTATTAATTGGTATAAGTACTATTGAAAACGCAACACCAGCTAAAAACGAAACTCCGATTTGCTTATGCAGAAGATATAGTGTTACGAATAACTGAAAATAAAAAAATATATTTTTAGTTTCTTTTTAAAAAACGGCAATAAAAAAATTCACTCACAATATAAAACACTATATTCTTTCTTAATGTATTAAAAAAAAAAAAAGAAAAGAAAACGGATTCAGATTACCGTTGTATAATTACCTGTAATGGTATACTCCAAAATGTATGAAAACTAGGACAGCTATTGACCAATCTGTCGCTATCGGTGCTCATAAAATTAATAATTTCGCCAAAATTAAAATTGTGATTTAAATCGATATTAGAAGAATGCAATGTTTTTCGATAGACTAAAGTAATAATTGCAGAACGAAACTTTAAGCCCACAACAGACATCCAAAATGTAAAGTGACTATTACAAAAGGCACCTAAAATATTATTATTGTAATTCATATGGTAAATATTTAAGAAATTTCAAAAAGTTTAATTTTGTACCAATTATAGCACTTAATATTATAAGGGACGCATATAGATATCCGTGCGAGATTGGCTCATTCTTATCTTCAATAAAACCTATTAATTTATTTAATAATATTGGTCCCATAAAAGAGCTGCAATCTGCGATAAACTTTAGTATTCCAACTGCATAAAATTCCCAGCCAAAACATTTGTGCAGCAGATATAACAGTGTCACTTTCTTTGTAACTATTTTTACATTCGAATGAAGCGGTACTTCCAAGTTATTTTCAATTCTGTTATTAATCATTTTTGGCTGTAACATTTCACAAGATTATCAAGATTATTATAAAATTAAATTAATTTATAAAATGATTTTCATATGTGATGAAAATATTTCAAGAATATTTATATCATAAATAAACTGCAAAATGTTATGTCTTCTTGTTTACCATGTTATGTAAGCATTGATCAATTTTATGACTGATCGTAATGGTACCGATCTGATCAGGTAAATCAAATAAGTCATCAAAATGATTTATTAGTCCCTTCACGCCTTTTTCCATTAATGGTGTTACCCAATGAAATAGAAGTTTAGAAATGACAGTTGTATCTTCCATAGCTATGCCAAGATAACTCGGATCGTGTTCCTCTGGAAATTGTACGTATGAAGAAGTGGGACTACTCAGTAGTGGAGTGCGTTCTCCTATCTACAAACACATTCACTGATCTGTGATATCTCTGCATGTTTACTAATTCAACAATTTTAGATATCATAAGCAATTAAATAAGTTTTGCAACTTGAGTATTTCCGGATAATCAGAAACGCAGATTTGATGTAAACACTAGATAATTATGTGATAACTTACTGCGACATTTCGCTGCAATGATGCTCTTATCCGTTCCGGCCTAGCAGAACCAGGTATCAATGTTATAACATACAATATCAAAAGAATAACTGTGGTGATACTAAATCCCAATGATAAATTTGGCAATACATCGTCTTTAGGCTTATTATTGATGTGGCTTCGTAATAATAGCACAGAAACAACAATCAAAAGACATATTAATGCTCGTATTAATACTGGTCCACGTGGGTTAAGATTCCATCCACGTTTCAAGCTTAAAATAAAACAAAGATGCACAACCCATGCCAAACCTTCAGTTCCTGCTACAAGATAATCTACTGGTTTAGCAGAAGTAAATTTATCCGTAATATTCAACTCATAATTATTGGTATGTAATATAGCAGGAGATGTAGTAGTATCCTTAACATCAATTTCTGATGAAAAAATTGATTCAACAAATCTAAGAGTATGATTTAATCCATCACGTATCTTGCTTATGATATCTGTTTCATTCTCTAATGATGAATTTATGTTTTTGTGAATGGAAATGTTCAATACTTTTGGTATTGGCGTGCTATATTCTTGCATTTGGGTATGCCTCAAAGGTATAGTAGTATCAGTTAGAATAATGTATGCTCTTATAATGGGTAATATCACAAGACATATTGTAATTAAGATTCTTAGGTTTATAACATGACAAATATGATGTTGTTGAGATGAAGATGTACTTCTTTTGCCACTGTGATATGCAGAAATTATAGCTAAGATAGCTAACACTGGTATCTGGAAATTAAGAAATAAATTTCATAAGTGAATGGCATTAATTTGTTGCTTTTCACATGTAATACGAGATTAAATTCTATTATACTTTACCTGAAGACAAAGCTGTTGGAAACATATACTCAAGTCATTCGTTTCAGGATTCACTGGATTAATATCTCCACGATGTCCACATAATTCAGTCCAATTCCACTTCCATCTTTCTGCATCATTCAACCAGTTATCTGCCATACTGTAATATTATAATTACAGTTATAATCAACATATAATATATAATAAAGAAAACTTTATTTTTGATAGATTAACAAATATTGTTAAACAATGTGAATTATATCAAAACGTATATATAAACATTTAATACTATTGTACCATATAATACTACTGTATTGCTATCGCATAGACATATTTGTTAAAATATAAAGAAAAATTTCGTTAAAATATATCAAAAGATATATTAAAAATGTATCAAACAGAGCAAAAAATATATAAAATATATGTTATTTTGCATAAAAAGAAATTTTTATGCTTTTTATTCCATTGAATAACATAATATTTCGTTAATTAATATATATTAATTTATAGTATATTAAACTCCTTATATGCGTAATTGTAAAAAGATACTATTGACTTGATTGATAATCAATTATAGGAACAGATAAGAGGTTGACTTAATACAACATGAGTAAACAATAAATTAGCGTAACAGGTTTAGAACACGTATACACCTATACCTGTTAGTCGAGGAATTTCTATAAATATTGAAGCACGCAACATCAATAAGCCCGTATTTATTATTTCCTTCCCGCTTGTATTACATTTTGTCGCTGCATTCTCACAATTGCTCACAATGGTGATCACTCGCAGGTTATGTTTCCCTTGGTAATGACGTGACGCATAGCACAGACTATGGATGACGAATGTCTTAAAGAATTTTAAAATTAATCGCACATACTAAGAATCACGTCTTTATCTCGTTTATCATCGATAACAACAATAATAGACAACAAAACGTAATTTCACAAGAGGCAGATACAAAAGACGAATAAAGATTTTTCGTGTGTGCTCTAGATTAATCTTATATCGTTTTTTACTAATTGCTGCAACAATACAATTACAAAGCACCGATTCGTCAGTGTACGCAATTAGTTCCATTTTCCACACTTGATCTGAATTTCTGATGAATAAAATTGAAGAACCAAGCACTCTGCAGAAAAACATGACTTTAGGGGCTAAAGGAGATCCTCTGCTAGATGAGAATAAGAATAGCAACAATGAACAAAGCATGGACTGTTCTATGTTAGATCTGGAAAAAAATGCCCTCAAGAAGGAGCTTCTGGACCATGTGGGTAACAGCAAAGCAACTTTCAAGAGCCAGCAAAAAGGAGAACCTGAGTTAACGTTTGAGGAAAAGCTTGCTATAGCTGGGAAGTTATTGGAGAAGAGTCACTGCTTATTTTTATCTAAATTTGGACAATATATGAAGGTGGAACACTTGGAGTATTTCAACAAAAGTCAGGATTATGAGACAATCTATCATGTGAACAGGTTACAAAGGTATTTCAATAACTCCACACGTCATATTGACATCAAAAACAGAAGATACGAAGCTTTGAAAACATTAATAGAAAAAGGAGACTACTTTAGCGAATGTGAAATGATGAAAAGAAATCCACTGTTGTATGAACATTTAGTAGGACAGTATTTGACAGAAGAGGAGAAGAAGGCTAGAGACAGTATTGACACGAAGAGTGTAAATTATGTGGATATACTTATGGAAACCATAGAAAGAAATAAATTAGAAGATCGTTTAAAATCTCAACAAAAGGAAGAAGACGAAGTACGAGAGGAAAATGATTCAGATGAAGATGATGATAATGATGATAATGATAATGATAATATCAGAAACAGCATTGTTGAAACAGCATCCAAGACAAATTTTGAGAAACAAAATTATCAGCAATGGGGTGAAGAATTAAATGAAGTAAAAAAAAATAGAGATAAAGACCAGAAATTACAAAGCAATAAAATACATAAAATATCAAGCCAAGAAATAAAATTACTTAGACAAGAATTTGTTACAAACATGTATCAGAGTTTCCTGGATGGTAAAGATACAGATTTTGATTATAGGTATATGTTGTGCTAATCAATAAATATAATATAAAAGGTCTATAAAAGTTATGGATGTTTTTGTAGAATATTTTTTAATATAAAAACTTCATCATATTATATTAACATTGTTTTTATAATAAATTTTCATAATTTATAAGTATAGTAATAACACACACACACACACACACACACACACACACACAAAGATAAAATTAACAATGTTGTTTTATAAATTAGATATATATATAAATTCACACCGAAATATTCAAATATTTAAATACTACTTTGATCAAAAATAGGATTTTTCTTACTCAATTAGATTTATTGTCATCTAATATCTCGAATTATAATATTTATCTTGTATAGAATAATTTTTGGAATAAGTAAAATAAATAGAAAACACTTGTCCCATTTGTTATTTTATAATTTTTAACTAAAAATAATAAATACAACATTTTTTAGACATCTAAATGTAACAGTTGCATTAATATGTATTTTTATCATTTGTTTTCAGTACTGTAGATGACAATGAAGCTTATGATAACGTTGACTTGAGAAATCAAGATGAAGAAGAAAAGTATTTTGATTCGGAAGTTCCTGAAACTGTTCTCCCATGTAATGAGTGCAATGATCAAAATGAATCTGAAGATGAATTGGATATATATATGAAATCGCTGAAGGTTAAATAATATTTTACACTTTACACAATTGCCCCGCTATTGTTGGCATTGATTCACAGAAAGGTTATTTATTCACTAGGAGCAGACTCCTACAAATCCACACTCTTTGGATAATCAGATGTAGCCCTGTGTACATTGGGTTACAATAAATATATTCGTATTTAACAAAAGTCTTTGGTTATATTATTTATTTTTTGTTTACTCCACTTTTACTCCACTTTCTTACTCCATTTTCTTGAACAGGATGATCCAGACCAGCCGAAAGAACCAGCATGTACATACGTACTGTTTATGAAAAATTGAATCGAAAAATCTTCTATTTGGCAATTTTTGTAATTTTTTTTTAATTACCTAATAAATAGAATAGTTGTGATACGCTAATATCTGTGAAAGCGTTAAAAAACATTAATAATCAGAATAGTTTATAAAATAATAGTTTCACATTTTGTATTTGTTTCTCGTTTTTTATATTCATTTTATATTCTTAATCGGATATTTATTAAATTTTTCGTGTGTATCTAAATTTCGCTCTTATTTGCATTCAAATTTAAAAATTTTTGTGTATATGTAACTGTATAAAATAAGTAATAAGTGGCAACGATAAAAAAACATTCAATGAGCCGATGTAAATGATTATTCTATGTATCTGATTCATAAGTGTGTGTTCAGACTTCCATAGAACTCTGGCGGAGTTGGGCGTTGATGTCTTGTCAAAGAGAGCCCTCGAGGCGTATGTTCGACGAATAATAATTGTGTATTTGTTTTCACAAGAAAATGGTAAGAATCGTAGAATTTGGAGAGGCATGTTTCGCAATTTCGCTTGCAAGGATAAGTAATCTCCTTCAAATTCGATCATGTAGTGCTAATCATCTCGCGAACAATAAGCCTAGCGTTGTATAGGTTATATTTGTCGAGAATGTGTTTGTAAAGAATATTTCATCGAGATTTTCGATAACATAGACATAAATGCTTACTTTTTTTACTTCTGTATCAGTCAACGCTTACACATAAATCATAGAGAAATGTGTGTATCTTATATATTTTACTTTAAACTTACTGCATAGCCCATTATTATAATTTGCAGTGTTTGTCCCGATTAAAACAATTATTTCTTAAAAAATCATCAATTTAATGATATAATAAATAGATTTCTAGAATTAGGTTGCATACAAATATATGTATCATGTGGCATTATGTTTGAAGAGTCGTTTTTAATTGTCAGTGCTTAATTTTATGGATAGATTGAGTCTCCTTGTTTCGACAATGTATTTTCATTGCATCTGTAGTGCATGCTTGAGTTGGATGGCTTACCTAGCATGGTACTACCTGGTGTTCCTGGTAGGTATCTTTGTTTTTCTCGCAGCCAATGACACCTGCTATAACGGGGATGGAGGAACAGGAGAAATTGCTAGAAGATGCAATTGGAGTCGTAAAAGTCCAAGCTTTTCAGATGAAACACTGTCTGGACAAATCCAAACTAATGGATGCGCTAAAACATGCCTCTACCATGTTGGGAGAACTTAGGACTTCCCTTCTAAGTCCAAAAAGCTATTATGAATTGTGTATCCTTAATAATTATTTAATAATAGAACTTGACCTATAATATATGTAGTTGGTTTTGATATTTAATTGTAAATATTCCTTATAACAATTATGATTAGATATGGCAATCACAGATGAATTACGGCACTTGGAACTTTATTTGTTGGATGAATTTCAAAAAGGAAGAAAAGTTACAGATCTTTATGAATTGGTACAATATGTTGGCAATATTGTACCTAGACTGTATGTATTTGCTTTATGATTGCATTGTTATTTTCTTACTGAAAAAGGTGATGTTCTGATTAATATTCTAGGTATTTACTTATCACTGTTGGCCTGGTTTATATCAAGACAACACTTGGTTTGAAAAGAGATCTTCTGAGAGATCTTGTAGAAATGTGTAGAGGCGTGCAACATCCACTGCGTGGTCTATTCTTAAGGAATTATTTGTTACAATGCACAAGGAATATTTTGCCAGATGTCACCGAGGGTGATGATGAAGATGGAACTGTATGTATTTTGTAAACAAAATTTTCCTCATGCACACTGCTTACTTCTGCAATTTTATTTTTAGGTTCGTGACAGCATAGATTTTGTTCTGATGAATTTTGCAGAAATGAATAAATTGTGGGTACGTATGCAACATCAAGGTCATAGTAGGGACAGAGAAAGAAGAGAGAGGGAAACGACTTAGTCAATTAGAATCTGCAACATTGGATAAATACAAAAAGGTATACACTTTCATCTCTTTATTTTTAATCATAATTTATTTATTTTTTAACTATGAAATATTTTTTATTATAAATCCATTTTCAGCTTGTATTGCCGGGAATCTTGGAGCAAGTCGTTAGTTGTAGAGATGCAATAGCACAGGAATATCTTATGGAGTGTATAATTCAAGTAAATATCTTTATATGTGTCATAAATATTTTATTTTAAAAATAACAATGATCTAAAAAATTAATGTCTTTTACATATTTGTATCTAGGTCTTTCCTGATGAATTCCATTTACAAACGTTAAATGCATTTTTGAAGTCGTGTGCAGAATTGCAAAATGGAGTAAATGTTAAAAACATAATTATATCATTGATTGATCGACTTGCAGCCTTTAGTCAACGATCCGATGGTGTAGGAGGACCGGGAAGTCCTAATCAAGTGCCAGGAATTCCACAAGATGTCAAATTATTTGACGTATTTAGTGATCAAATTGCAACTATCATACAGGTATCGATTAAATGGAATAGATTTCATTATTGATTATGTTAGAATAACTATTCGATGATTATTGGATATTACACAATGTTTGATATATCATGATTTGAAAATCAGAAAATTCCTTACTATTTAGTTTAAGTCTGAGAATAGTCACAAAACATACTATATTATACTTTAATTAAAAGAAACTAATTTATATTATATTATATAAAAAAATCTTTTGTAGACAAGACAAGATATGCCTCCTGAAGATATTGTGTCCCTCCAAGTGGCTCTTATAAACTTGGCACATAAATGCTATCCCGATCGTGTAGATTACGTAAATAAAGTTTTGTTTACAACAGTTCAAATATTTCAGAAACAAAACGTCGATAAGTGAGTGTAATTTGTTACGCATGTTAAATAGCATTTTGTATCATATAAATGTATATGCGTACGTGCGTTTATTGTATGTTTATAATTTCTATTTTTCTTTTTTAGATTGGAGTACAATAGTGCTGTTTCAAGAGAACTAGTTAGATTAATGAAAATTCCCATAGACAATTATAAAAATATATTAACAGTGCTTAAGCTTGAACACTATGCGCCTCTTTTGGATTATTTCGATTATGAGGGCAGGAAATCACTAGCTATATATATAATAACGAATATTTTGGAGAATGAAACATTGATTCCAATGCAAGAGCAAGTAGATGCAGTGCTCTTCATGGTATCTTCCTTGGTGCAAGATCAATCAGATCAACCTAATATAGAAGAAGATCCTGAAGATTTTGCCGAAGAACAGGGATTGCTCGGAAGATTAATACATCATTTTAGATCGGAAACACCAGATCAGCAATATATGATACTAAGTGCTGCAAGGAAGCATTTCAGTGCTGGTGGTAACAAAAGAATAAAATTCACTCTACCTCCCATAGTTTTCCAAAGTTATCAATTAGCATTTACATACAAAGCACTGAAAGATCAGGTTTGTACCTCTTAATGCTCTTAAGAGCATTCTACAATCTCGTCGCAATCTCGTCTCTAATAGCAATGCTTCATGACAGCCAATCAGAAGCGTCAATTGTTGATGCTTCTGATTGGCTGTCGAGGAGCATTACGATGCATTGTAGAACGCACACATAAAACTTTATGTTTGTTTCTATCAACAAAGATTAATTAAATTTTTTTTATAATTATAAAATTTTATATCTATAATTATAAAATAAATTTTAAAATATAAATTAAATTTTTTATACATTAATTTTTTATTATAATAAAAATTTTTATTTAAATCTTATTATAAAAATCTGTTTAATTTATATATTTTTTTTTAATTCTAACCTGAGAAAAAAAAAGATAAACAGTAATTTAAACCAAAATTAAAAATCTACTTTAATAGAAACGGATATTAGTGAAATAAGAATGTTGAATATAAATTAATGTTCCCTTTTTTTTAGGATGATATGTGGCAAAAAAAGTGTCAAAAAATTTTTCAGTTCTGCCACACGACTATCACAGCATTGATGAAGGCTGAATTAGCCGAACTACCCTTAAGACTATTTCTACAAGGCGCAATAGCAATCGGTGAAATCCGTTTTGATAATTTTGAAATGGTAGCTTATGAATTCATGAGTCAAGCATTTTCGATATATGAAGATGAAATAAGTGACTCGAAAGCTCAGCTCGCAGCTATTACCTTGATTATTGCTACATTCGAGCAAATGAGTTGTTTTGGCGAAGAAAACGCAGAGCCTGTACGCAATCAGTGCGCTTTATATGCTAGCAAATTATTAAGAAAACCTGATCAGTGTAGAGGAGTCGCTACTTGTTCACATATATTTTGGTCTGGAAAATCTTTGGCTACGGGCGGAAAAGAGGTACATAAATTTAACTTTGTTTATAGAAATAAACATAGAAATAAAGTATGCTATACGAGAAATATAATACAATTTTCACATAGATGCAAGAAGGCGGCAAAGTGTTGGACTGCTTAAAAAAAGGTATTAGGATAGCAAGTCAGTGCATGGACACGTCTGTGCAAGTACAACTGTACGTGGAGCTGCTGAATCATTACATTTATTTCTACGAAAAAGGAAACACAGCTGTAAGACATCTACAAACATAAAATAGTTTATTATAGTTTTATTTTAAGTTATTCTTAAAATAAATTATTTTTAGGTAACTGTGCAAATATTAAATCAAGTGATTGCTAAAATTAGAGAGGAACTTCCTAATCTGGAAACGAGCGAAGAAACCGATCAAATTCAGAAACATTTAGCAAATACGTTAGAACATTTAAGAAATAGGATGGAATCGCCAGATTCCGATGGACTTTCTTATCAAGGTCTCGTTCTTTAATAATGCGAAATCGGCATTGTAATTTTGTACATAAAGTATTTCTATAATATAGACAATATATTGTAGTTCAGTTGTATCAACAACAGTTAAGGGCATCTTAAAGACGATTAGTCGTAGTGTAAATGTAAGTCTATGAATTATATTTCGCAAGATTGCACAGCTTTTATATGAAGCAAATGTCATGACAGCTCTGTAGCGCTAATTGAATTAAGAAATGGTAAAGATCTCAATTTGGAAACTGTCGTTCTCAGTATAAATTCCACATCACAGACACGTATTAATACGTATACTTTAATCTTGGAAAAGGATTTTCGAATTTGAACAAGAGGAAAAAGTCATTGTTATACAAAAATTATATAATTTAGTTAGCAATACAAACTTTAGGGTCCCCTTAACATTGATTCCGATTAACTTAATTTTCATTCTATATCTTTACAGCAAACAGAAGTATTAATTAGAAACAAAAAATGAATAACTTAATTCGGGATCAGTTTATTGTAATTGTTGCAACTCGCAGATCAATAATTATGAGATTATTTCTTAATTGAATAAATATTTAAATTATATAAATTGCCTACATGAGATGTTTTGTCAACGATGTCTGGGACATACATATTAGAATTAATAGAATTATATGTATACTTGTTTTAATAAAGATTTATTATACATATAAAATATTATCAACAAAAATTAGAGAGAGAGAGCATTATCCAAGATACCTGACCGACTAAAATGTTGTTTAGGATCATCACCTGGATAACATTTGTCAAAATCAAGATCATTGGAGGTTGCATCTCTTATTTTCATTTTTACGTAAAAATGAATTTTCGGGCAAAGGCGCCTTATATGTCAGCGACGGCCCCGCATATGTGCGTAGTGCACTGAGTGCACATTGTGCACGTCAGTGACATCAGCACTAGCACTATCAGCACTATCAGCAGTATCAGCAGTCAGCAACAGCACGTGTCTATGTATATTTTGTATACGGTGTGAGTTGGTCGTATTATGCGCGATTATTAATAATTATTAGTATTAATTAATCAAAAACACATATTTTAACGAAGCAATGGGTAAAGGTCGAAAACATAAGCCGAAAAAGAACTTCGCTGAAAAACGCCGTGAGAAGCAGAAGGTATAGTTATTCATTAATATTGAAAACAAAATATATAGGTTATATGTTTTAACATAACATTTTAACATGAGTATGTATTTGCGGCTTTTTAAAATATGTTCTATTTTTTTTATATTTAATATAATGATGATAGTGAATTTGAAAAGCGCGTGTTGATATGTAATTGATAATTGTAGAAAAATGAATGGAATAGTGCTTCTCAGTCAGGAAGTTATGCAGATATTATTCGGGAAAACGAAGATTTTGAGAATTATTACAAGACGCAAGGAATAGTGCCAGAAGATAAATGGGATGCATTTATCAGCACTATAAGGACTAATCTGCCAGTTGCTTTCCGTATTACTGGTTCAAAAGCTGAAGCTAAAGCCTTATTGGAAATAATCAAAAGTGATTTCTTCAAAGAGATTTTGAATGCAGATTTGGATAGTGATAAGGAAGATGTTAATAATCGAGCAAAAACTATATTACATAGTTTACCCTTTTATCCAGAGGAATTAGCTTGGCAATTGCAATTAACTAGGAAAGACATCCGACGATCTGAGGCATACTTTAGGCTGCATAATTTCCTTATTGCCGAAACTAACAATGGCAGTATCAGCAGACAGGAAGTAGTTAGTATGGTTCCTCCTTTGGTCCTAGATGTTAAACCTTCACATAAAGTTCTTGATATGTGTGCAGCGCCAGGATCGAAAACAGCACAACTTATAGAAATGATACATGCAGATGAGGAAAATCCTCCAGGTAACTAATACTAATTTACACGATAAAAAATGAGCACAATGTAAACATTAATATTTAAATTTTACTCTAGAGGGTTTTGTAATAGCTAATGATGTTGACAACAATCGATGTTATATGCTGGTGCATCAAGCTAAGAGGCTAAATAGCCCAAACATTCTTATTACGAACCATGATTCGTCAATTATGCCAAATTTTATGATTACAAAATCAGATGGTACAAAAGATACATTAAAGTAGGAATTTAAACTTTATAACATTTAAACAATTACCTGCATATTGAGCATTCTTATAGCTTTTTTTTAATACAGATTTGATAGGATACTTGCGGATGTCCCATGTAGTGGTGATGGTACCATGCGAAAAAATCCAGATATATGGTGCAAATGGAGTCCTGCTAATGGCAGTAATCTTCACGGGTATAAATTATCATAATCGAAAAATTATTTTTTTTTTGTAAAATAAAACATAATAACGTAGAAAACATAATATTTCGACTTTATAGAATTCAATACAGGATAGCAAAACGTGGTTTAGAATTGCTAGCAGTTGGGGGGAGGATGGTTTATTCCACGTGTTCACTAAATCCTATTGAAAATGAAGCGGTACTTCATAGGCTTCTTTGTGAGACTGAAGATTCAGTACAGTTAATTGACTGTAGAGATTTAGTGCCAGGATTAATATGTGATCCTGGTTAGTTTTAGATAATAGATATAAAATATGTATAAAAATATATTCATAAAAATATTTGTGAATTTTTAATATAATATATATATATATATATATATATATATATATAAAACTGTATTTTGCAATTAGGTGTTACACATTGGAAGCCGGCATCTAAAAATTTACAATATTATGATAGCTGGGAGGATGTTCCCGAACAATGGCAAACGCAAGTACGGCCGAAAATGTTTCCTCCAGATGCAAACGAAGCTTCTAAATTTCATCTTGAACATTGGTAAACATCGCATAAATAAATTAACAGATAAAAATATGTTATATTTCTTTAGATTATATTTTCATCAATGTTATAGTATGAGAATATTACCACATCATCAAGATACTGGAGGTTTTTTCGTCGCTGTGCTGGAGAAAGTAAAAGCTCTGCCATGGGAAAGAGAAATTTGTGTATTAAATCAAAGTACACAGAATGTAGATGGTAACGAAAACAAGAATAAGCACATTCTTGAAGAAAAATCTGCGCAAGACACAAAGCTTTCAGAAAGTGAGAAACAAACATTGGAAGAAGAAAAGAAATCACCACCAAAAAAGCGAAGAAGGATGACTGGTTACAGAGAAGATCCATTTGTTTTCTTCAAGGATCAAACAGAAGATGTTTGGCAGTCTATTAAGTAAGTTTCAGTTGTTTGTTTTTTCCTTTTTTTTTTAGTATTTAATACAACTAGTTTGTTTATATTGTTCGATATATTTTCAGAGATTTTTATGGCATATCTGATGATCTAGATCCACGTTGTTTATTAGTAAGATGTCATGAAGGAAAAAAGAAAAATATTTATTTCACATCACCGGCAATTCGCGATATAGTGATATCTAATGAGAATAAAGTAAAGATGATCAACACTGGCGTTAAAACATTCGTACGATGCGACAATAAAAATATGAATTGCGCCTTCAGACTTGCTCAAGAAGGGATGCATAGTATCATTCGTTATATAAGTAATGACAGAAAGGTTCAGATCTCAAAAGAGGATTTGATAATGCTTTTACAAAATGATGATCCACACACGCCACCTGAAATTGTAAAATTAAATTCAGAAACTCAAGAACGTCTCAAGGAATTCGGTAAATATAATTATATATAATTGCTTTTTTTTTGTTCTTTATACCGTTTTTACACGTAATTCATAAATTTTGCTTGAAAAATATATTTAATTTAAGCAACTGGAAGTTGTATATTGTTATACAAAGAAAAGAAGACTGATAATCCAAATCGCCTAAATCTTCAGCTAGTAGGATGGAGGGGAATAATGTCTCTTAGAGCATATGTACCTACTTGCGATGCAATTCATTATTTACGACTTTTAGGAGCGGATTGTTCTAAATTTGGTATGGTATTTGTAATAATATGACTGTGTATTATTGTGTAGAAGAATATATCATTGTTTACATTGTAATTCTGCAGAGAAAAATAAATTTGAGGAAAATCGCGCAGCCGCATTAGCCAAGAACGTCAACAACGACGATGTTAAAACTGAATGTGAAACTGCAATTGAAACCGAAGATTAATGAAAAAGTTGTAACAAAAAACAAGAATAACATAGAGGAAGAAACAGAATGAATAACTGATTAGATCATTATGACGTAATTAAAACTTCACAACTTTTCTAATTTCTTACATATACATATACCATATACATATACATGTGATACATATACATGTGTGTATATATATATATATATATATATATATATATATACACACACGTGTGTGTGTATGTGTGCGTGCTTGCATGTGTGTATGTAAATTAAAATATTTAAATTTTTTTTTATGTATCCTTTTTTATATGAATTCGATTTGATAATAATTAAGTACTAATTATTAAGACTTCCCAATTTTTCTAATATCTTACACACTCACACATATATATGTGTGAGTGTGTATGTGTGTGTAGGTGTGTATAGAAATTAAGATATTTAAATTGGTTTATTTTTTATTTAATTCGTTCTGATAATGATCGAGTATTGATACTGAAAAATGTATAAATGGACTAAAAAAAATATGTGGTTTTAGGATAAAAACTTTGACGATGGAATGATAAATGATTATTTTTACTGACCATTTTCTATGAAATAACTGCTTTATGAAATTACATATGTTTTCTAACGTTTGATCGCTGAAAGATCTTTCCATTTCCTAATGCCTATTGGACACATCTTGCCATAATGTAGTATAGTATAAATTTTCATTATAAATATGGCCGGATGCAAGGAATCATTAATTCTGAAATGACATGTTTTTGTAACATCTGATATCACTGCCTTTAATAATTGATGCACCTCTGCATATGTCCTTGGATATTATGCAACAATGATGATAAAAAGAATGAAACCTATTAACAACTCTTAATATCTCGTCTTAGCTAAGTCATGTCACTTACATGATTCCAAACTAGCTTAATTAATAAGCATCTCTAAATCTTTAAATATCAGGATTCTCAATTTACAATTAAAAATCCGCTCTATCATGAATTTATATTAATAAAGGACGGGTTCTGCTAAAAAAATCATTTAAATGTAATAGGTATAAATATGAAAAACGTTAGACAGCTCGTATATATAAATATATAACATATACATAAACTATAAAATAAATAAAATCAAAATCCTCTTTTTTTAAGATTTGTCGAATTCGTCCGTCGACTTCGAAGTTGTTGCCTGATGCTAGTAATCTCTACCCGTCGGTGACGTTAATTTGCCGCTGAGAT